AGAAAAGATGTTTGGTCTTTCCAATGTGGTTCTGCTGCCTCCTCCAATGTACAGTGTCTCTATCTCTCTCTCATTATATTTCTATCTCTCTCTATTTCTATCTCTATTCAAAAACCAGGATGACTTCACCATTAAACATTTTCTGCTTAAAAATGATCAAAGAATGTTTTTTTTTGATCTTAGCCCCCAGTAATTTGGTTCAAATTGGGATTTTTTATCACATTCTTTTTAAAATTACAGACAAAGACAGACAAATGACATTCCTGGCAGCATTTTCAACGCATTAATCCCCATTTATGATGTGACTTACCTGGACAATGGGCTCTTTAAGATACTCCTGAAGTTTTTTATTTAAGAACCCAGGGACGAGCTGTTCATGGCTGTTCTTTCACAGCCCCTGCACCCTCGGCCACGGGACCCCACGGAGGAGCCACTTTCTCTCACCGGTGGTGACAGACTTAGTCCTCAGGACTAAGAGTTGAGGACTTAGATTTTGGATTGACAAATTTCTTTAACAAAGACAAAAATTGTCTCTTTTAGAGACCTAAACCCAAATTTTCCTCTTCCTGAGACCTCAGACATATTTCCTGGGCAAATTTTAAGATCTTTTGTGTCAGAAAATACCCCCCAATCGTTCGTGGCGTGTCCCGGAGTCCTCAGAGTCCGTAGGGACAAGACCCAGCCCAAAACGCTGCGCTTTGTGCCCGTCCCCAAAGGGGCGACAGACCCCAGCCGAGAGGCAAGTCCAAGAAAAAAACCCCAAATCACCAAAAATCGACAAAATGTCACAATTTCGCACCAGGGAAGGAAAGACCGAGAAGAAACTGGCGACTCACCTTTGACGGTCAACATGGTCCCAGCCCCGAATATAGCAGTACTACTGCTGCTGTCATAGCTACCACAATAATAGACAGCCTCGTCCTCGTCTTCGACCCGAGTGATGGTTAATGTGCCCATGGAGCTGGACTTGGATCCAGAGAATCGCGAAGGGATGCCCGAGGGTCTCTTGTCATTTTCATAGATCACAGTGACAGGGGCACTGCCAGGGACCTTCTGCTGGTACCAGTCATACCTGCCACTGCTCCCAGAACAGAGGATATTGACGGTCTCTCCCACCCTGCGAGACAATGCGGATGGCTGAGTCAGCGCTGCCTGGACCAGGGAATCTGAAAATGGAGAGGAGAGAGAGGGGAAGACGGGTCAGTCAAAGCCCCAGGAGCGCAGTTGCTGGGCAGAGGGATGTGACCCCTGTGCCTAAAGGCCCCATCCAGGCACGGCGAGTCCACTCATGGCACCTGAAGTCTGGGCGAGCACCACGAGGAGGAGAGGGACCCAGGCCATGGTGAGATCTCACCAGCTCCACGGCCCTGCAGTGATGGGGCTGTGCCGTGGACCCGGACTCCCTTTTAAGCCTCTGCCACACCAGGACACAGCCCCTCCATGAAAATCTGACACTGCGCTCACGACCGGATCCTGCCCACGCCTCTCTCGTCACCTCCCTCCCCGCTCCACTCACAGCCCCCCCCACCACAGGTGCAGCAGGGTTTGTCCCTGGGCACATAGCGGAGACACCTTCCAGCCTCAAGCCAAAATTCACCCACACAGGCCCCTCATTCCCAGCTCAGGCTGAGTGCCTGCAGGACCAAAGGCCAAAGGGTGAGGGAGAGATGGACACTGGAGACAGAGGGGGACTGTTGTGGTTTGAAAGAACCCCCCCCCAGAGTTGGAAAATAGCTAGTTCCAGGGATGGTGTTTCTTGGCGCTGAGCCAATCACAACTTGATGCGCCTCTGTGTAAATGACATATTACACAAGCCGGAAAAGAAGCTTGTTGGCATAGCTGGAATTGGAGAGATGCCATGAGGTAGAGAGGGAGACCGGGGGCTCTTCTGCCCCATCCTGGCCGGGGGGGCCAGGTGTGGCACAGCAGCCAGCCCTGACCCCTCAATAAGACTGGTGGTCGAGAGAAACCCCGAAAATCGGGGAGGTCCTTGGACTGTGGCATTTTCTTCCCCACTCACAGTAGAGGGGGGAAAAACGGCAGCGGAGGCAGCATGGAACAGCGAGCTGCACCTGGAGCTGAGACTGGCTTCTGGCCAAAAGACTGTGAAGCAAAGATGAGAGAATTCCAGAGAGCAAGAGGAGCTGCCTGGTGAGCAGCAAATATGACATGGAGCCAGACCGAGAGACACAGGGACATCCTGGGGAGAGAGAGCTGAACGGGCAGGGAGATGAGAAGCCAGCTGGAAACATTTCTGGGGTAAGAACTGAGTCC